ATATCCAGCATGCAAGCATAATCCTGTGGAGTGGCGTTATAGATATCTATTTCATAGTTTAAATAGTAATGTGTGTTTGTTTCTGTTTTCTACATTTACTCATATTGAGAGTAGTAGTGTATGTATTTTGGATATCATGGCACAGCTCATTCGTAAGCGGAGTATTTTTTGATCTGTGAAGAGTGACTGCATATTCTATTTTCAGGAATGCACTCTTGAATTAATATTGTATCAAAAAATGGTGCTGATGTATTGAATTTGCATTAAAGTAATTCATAACTTCAGTGCGTATCTGTATGTGGCTTATTCTAACCGTTATAATGATGTGGAAAATCTAAAATACTGAATGAAATTTGTTGATTAGAATCGTTAATAAATTTACATTTTGATACTGAATCCTTTTTAAAATAATGAAATCAGTTGGAGTAATTTGGAACTTTCTTTTGAATAGATCATTCCATTTGTTTCTAAAAAAGATGCATTAGGTGAGTATTGAAGACATGTGAATGCAATGGACGAATTGACTTCATCCAGGAAGTACAAACCCCCTCTCTGATTGCTATGAATTCATCTCATATCCAGCAAGCTGTTGTATGGCACAGTACGTTTTTGAATTCAATAATTCCTATATTTGCATACAAAATAGTGCATTGCTTGAATAGATCGAATCATATGATGCAGACTTTAATAAATTTATGAAAATTCTTGATAATATCCGATTAAAGTCAGAGTTGCTGCACAACTCTGCATCGTTCGTTACACAGCCTTTCACACTTGAAATGGTGAAAAAAGATGTCGACACATTTTAGAAATCTTGTTCACTATTATTTGAACTTATCGTTACGTCATTGATCCAGTTCAAATAATTACCAGTTATTTTTATTGGTTTCGATGGCAGTGCTTTGACTAGCGATTGTCCACTTTCGAGTGTTTTTGGAAAAGTCGTAAACGAATAACCAAGAGAGGATGTTATAATTGAACATTGTAATTGCAAATCATGAACGAGTTGTTGAAGTTTACCATCTTGTTGAGGTGTCTATAAGGGTGTCATTATCCTTCGTCGTCTCCTAATTTCTAACAGCAATTATATTCGTCCAGTTTCATCTTCGAGGAAACAAGCAATTCATTTCTCGCCATATGCAACTACTGTGATATCGATTTGAAACGAGAGGGAAGTGTTATGGAATTATCGATTCAAACGTTTCACACCGCAATGACGTAACGCACTTCTGTGCTAACTTGTGCATATCCATCAGCAAAGGGTACTGCGAATTGAAACGATCCAACACTGAACACTGACTAACCCGATCTGAGAATAATTAATTGAATACTGTTTATCAATCTATCGATCAACATCGTTCATATTTCCTAATCAGCGATCATCATCCATATGAAACAATACGACAAATTTATTTTTATCTTTTTTCCGATATAAAATGCAAGGTAACCGGTTCATTCGGAACGGTTTTTAATTTAGTTCAACTTCAACTGTGTGTGGGCCTAATTGTTCAATGGTTCTTTGAGTCATCTCACAGTTTCACAGTTGATTAACTTTTGTCGCACAATAATTCATCTCAGGTTCATAGTTACTTAATAGCGATTATTTGATCATGTCATCAGCAATCGTTGTTCATTTATTTGCTCTTTTAATCGATAAGTTGTTATGATTGTAAACGACGGTTGTAATATTCTGTCTACATTCGACAATTATGAGTTGTATTCAGAAATCGTTCGGTCGCTGAATGCATGCATTGTTGCGTGAAAATGCGGTCTTTGGGACCAAAGACTGACGCCTCTCCTAATTTCATTCATTCAGAATTAACGACAAATTAACATTCTCAGCGATTTTAGAAGGCAGCTTTATTCATTACGCTCGTTGAGTATCGTTGGAATTTTCACTCCATGCAGTCCCTCCGAGCATGAAATAAAATCGAAAAATAATCGGTCATGCTGCTTTAATTCCAGGAGCAATATATTTTTATCATACAAATCCATGTGCCAATAGCAGTTAGTTCGTATGTAGAGATACTTTGAATAACTTCAACCGAGATGAAGTGTTTCATTTCATTTGATTTTTGCCATTACAACGCAAACAGTGATTCAAAAATCCATTTTATTCTACTTGCCACTCCATGCTCCTATGAATTTTCCCGTTCCGTGACAAGCCAGTAACTGTTGGTCAATGTTAGATTAGCTTCGTGTAATACTTTCGTCAGTCATTCATATGTGTATGTATGTTAGCAGTGATGCAAGTAAACGTCCCAGAGCTTTCGACCAGAACGGTTTTTGCATCCTGTTGGTTATTTTGTTGCAAAATTTTTTGCAGAATATCCAAAAAAAGTCTTCATCCATATTTTTGTGTACTTTCTTTAACATTTTTCTCACTTCATGTCATCACCAGGAAGCAACCATCAAAAGGAAATCATTTCATGCGACGGACAGTGACTAGTGATAATGGAAATGCGTTACTTTAGTTTCGAGTAAATCTCATGAGCGTATTCTCATTGTGTAACGCATTATTGCAAGTTTGCGCAGCTTTTAAGATTTATCGTTGACATTCTCTGTAGAATGTTTTCAGTTCTTCAAATGTTTCACGATACTTTCATTTTTGGTCGAGGAATGACAAGAAAATTCGTTTAAAATTATGTTCTTGCAGTAGAGTGTTGATGAATCGTGAATAATATTATTTTCTAGTCTATATAGCCTTGACATAGACTGCCTTCTTCAGATTCCATTTATTGTTCTGTTTTTTCGGCTTTATTTTTCAGGCTTTTCGGCTTAATGTAGTTTTTTGAAATCCTTTTACATATCCAGATTTTTGAAAGTACTATCTATAATCATCCCATATTCAATTATTTCTTTGAAATTCCTTCTCCTCTTCCCACCGAAATTGACCACGAATTAGTTAATGAATATCGTGTATGAATTTTGTGTGGTAATTTTGTCCGTAATTTATAATTGAGGAATATTATGAAACAATCAGCAACTCGTCATCGGTAATGTGCATTAACGCTCTGAAACGCGAATTTAATTTCATCAGTGAATTTGCTCGTTCGAAGAAGATAATAACGCTGATTATGAGGGCTGATGATGGAAGTTTTTGTTTGTTGGTGGGGGTGACTTGTGAAGGTATTCGAAGTGCCTTTTAGAAATTAACATTGTGGTTAGATGACAGGGGAGAAAGTGGACGTTGAAATGCCGTTTCTGTTATTCTTTGGTTGTTTTTGTGTTAAGGAAGATCGAGAAAATTATTGAAAGAAGTGATGCGCCTGTTTATATAAAATTAAATATTGTCCTGATTCATGTTACAATTTAGTCTTCTCTTAACATTCATTATTTTCATTATTTATGATCATCACCGATCATCGCCCTTTTCGCACTTCTTATTCAGTTTATCATTCTCATCACTGAGTAATTATTAAAGATGATATTATATTATCATCACCAATATATTTCTGATAGACTTGTGCGTTATTATCACAGGTAATGCTCATTGTGTATTCTGCATTATTTGTGCATAATCGTTGCTTCATAAAACCAGTTTTTTGCATTTCTTCTGTTCAATTCATTATATTTGGTGCTCTTTTATCATCTCTTTAGTGTTTTTCCTTAACACATACAAAGTATGTGTGCTTTTATGTTTTCATATGTAAGTCTCTCCTCCATCCTTCATCTGAATTGAATTATGATTTATTAAGATTTTGGTACTGCGCANCCCCCCCCCCCCCGTCCAGGTATCTCCTCCCCGACTTTTTTTATCGCCCTCCCTCGTCCTTTTTGCTCGTGAAAGGGGTCCTCTCCCCCTCCCCGGCCAAAAAGTTACTCTGTGATGAACTATTTGAGTTTGTTAATATTATATTTCCATACTGATGCATCTTTGGAGTTTTCAGTTTTCAAAATTTTCTTCGTTTCAAAAACTCGACTGCAATATGTTTTTGTTTCTGTAGGGTTATCGTTTATGCTAACGCTGTTATTGCCATGCTGAGTAGGTGAATACGCGATTATATGGATGACTTTGTACGATTGCAGATTTCAGTTGTTTTGCATTCTTGCGCCTTTGATGTAATATACAGAATAGGAACTCTAAATATCGGTGTGGTGTTTGTTTAAGATTACGGAACAGTCAACTCGAAGATTGAGTTAATTGAATGCCATTATAAATTCAGAAGTTGTGTGAGTTGAAAATGTGGTAGTTGTTGAATATTATACGAATTATTCACACACANACACATATTTATTGCTATCTAATCAAATGCTTTCAAACATGCAATATTTACTCTAAATAGTGTTATAATATTCATATAACGCGACAGCGTTTGTGCACTCTGTTGAATGATAACTAGATTCATTGAGTTGATTGATTGAATTGCGTTGGCTGAAATGTTTTTGCTATCATAAAAATACCGAACGATTTTTGATTTTCATTTCCATTTTAGTTAAATGCACGATTTCAGCGCAATGTAACATCGGCTTAGACAGTAACGATTAAGGTAGTCGTTCTGTGGCAAAATAACATTTGAGCGAGTGAATTAATAAGATAATTTATTATTCTATCATCCGCAGTGAATTTCATTGTTGACACCTCCATTCCATTCGTTGCGACTGTGCTGTTGGATTGAGTGACTGACTTGATCCATTAGTAGGACTGATGTTTCACCACAATACGTAAAATGTTGAAGAACTTGGGAATAGATTCGAATTATTATTGTAGAAGTTGTGGGAAATGTGATAAACTGAACCGTTTTCAACGATACAATTTGATGTATCGATGAAACTGTAGTGATTCCCGCCTGAAAGCTGCTTTCGCGCTCTTGTTAACGGATGAAAAGAGTACGCTATGAATGGCAATTTATGAATCAACGAAATACTACAATAGTAGTAAAAGCGATAATAATGGTTTTACTATTATTATGATATGGCTGTTGTTGCTGCTATTGTCGATTCAGCTGAGTGGATGAATGAAAGTTTAACGAGCAAAATGGAATGAACAACAGTGAATTATGAATGTCGACTTTCAGGGTGCGGATATGCTTGCGAAGGGGCTAACGAAACTCGGGTTTGCACCGTGTGTACTGCACGGTGGCAAAGGTCAAGATGCCCGTGAATATTCGTTAGCCGCGTTGAAAGACGGCAGTAAGGATATTCTAGTGGCGACAGATGTGGCTGGACGAGGTATCGATGTTAAGGACGTTTCGTTGGTACTGAACTATGATATGGCTAAATCGATTGAAGATTATACGCATCGAATTGGAAGAACTGGTTGGTTTCTCGTACATCTTTTCATTTGCGTTCGCATCACTTTATTATTCACGTCTAATTCCTTCGTGCTGTCTTACTCTATATTAATTATTCTTATCTTTATGAAAGTTGCGATAACCGCTTCTTTTCGGGATTTATTAGCCAATTTTGCAAGGTTCATCAAAATTTATTATCAGTTTATTCTATTGGCTCTGAATGAACAGCGCAAATTCTGGCTCAAGTTTGTTCTCAATTTGAAAATCGCTGAGATCAGAATCTTTTGCTATTCCAAAAATTTTTCTGCTCATATGCGTGTCTGTTCAGAAATTGATTCTGAAATTATCATCAATCACCATGTTTAAAGATAATTTTGAACTTCATTTCATTTACACAATCATATAATCAACAACTTCCCAGTTGTAAATTACCCTCACTCATTGTCAGTTATAGCTCATCGCGCTCAACTGCTCTAGTAAGGTCATGCAATCAATTTCGTTCAGCGGCTATTTCTTTGATTATCTCTAAAACGAATTGTAGTGAAAATGTGATTCCCAACTTTCACAGTGCATTTGTGAGGGATTAATGAGCTGTTGTCAATGCTTGGCATGCGACCAATGAGCGGTTAAATTCATTTAAACAATATGCATTCAAGAAATTTCACGCTGTTTATTCGTAGCAAATTTTGATTTTTTTTTTGAAAGTATTTATTGTCGTTGTTAACACAATCATTATCGTTATACCACTGAGAACGTCCCAATTTGCGTTCAACTCATCTCAAAACGGCAACATTTTAATTGGTATCACTCCGATCTATTCATCTTTTTACACTGATTTTATTTGATTTCGCATTGATATTCTCTTCGTATCGATTTCTTTGAAGTTTTATTCTTCCGATTCCGTTTGACAGTTTGTTTCTCTTCCATTCTCCGTTCAACTTCCGCTCGTATATATTGAATGTAATATCTGCTTTCGAGTTTATCGGTTGCATATTGCGATTGCTAGCAATTANGGGGGGGGGGGGGAGGGAAGGGTATTTGGAACACCGTAAATGACGCAGAATTAATAATATTACGGATATAAGTTGATATTGGAATGTTTGTATCATTTCTGGCTATTGTCTAGCATGGAGCTATCGAATAGTGAGGCAACGCCCTATAGGTGTGGTACTCGTCTGGTTTAGAATTGGATTAGACTACAATAGATTGAATATTTTACCTTTGTATTTAAAGCATCATTTATCATTATCTTGCCGCTGCTCGAATGCCCACACGTTCAAGCATCGTAAATTGTTTGCATTGAATTGAAAGAGATCCACCTAATCATATTTATTAGTGGTGTTTATGTTGCACTTATCCAACAAAACAGATGTTTTTTGAAGCTCAGAAAATTTTCGAATTTTTGAACAGTAGTTAATTTTTTAAGTTGATTGAAATGAAATAAAAGAATTCATTTGTCGAGGATTAGAATAGCGTTCGCGAACGTCGATGGATGTTCGCGATCGGAAACCGTAGTTATTCGACAACACGTTTGATGATGTTACTGCATTCGTTTTCGTGTAACAAAATATCGTGTAATACGAGAAGTCCAGAATTTTATCGTTCTATTGCATTGTTTTACTGCCCTTGTGTCAAGTTCACTCATTCAGCACTTTTCATCAAATTCAGTTGACACGATGCCATTTACCGGATAATTTTGCCATTGCTGTTTCTCGCTCGTCCCCCCCCCCCCCCCCCCATTTCCTCGCTTTCATAATCGAAATTAATACTGAATTGAGAAGTGATTATTGCATTACCTCTGTTATTATTTATCCGTTTATTTGTTCAATCTTAATTCTATTCGTTTTATTCATCCTTGCAATAAGTAGATATTGAACGCGCATCAAACTGTGGTGTATGCTTGGCGTTTCATGATATATGAATGTACCTAATGAAAGTGACATTCACAGCGGACGTTTCATTCTGACATCTTCCTAAATGAATACGGTTTGATGAATATGTTTTTCTGCTAAGTTTATTTCAAAATCTGTAAAGTGCTGAGAAATTGGTAGTTCCGTGGAGCGTGTTGAGCTGTGATAGCCGAACAGTTGTTTTGGAAATGGATTCTTTTTCCGTTTTTTGAAATTTCGATAATTCAACATGTTTGAAGTCGATTGATAAAATAAAAAGAGTAAATATTTTCTTGAATGCAATTCCACTCAGTGCAAAAGCATTGATTTGGTTGGATCTTTAAGGGATGAACTTTCCAATTGTTAATCTAAATGTATTGGGGCGAAATTGCTGATATAAAGTAAATGTTGCCACATTTTAAATGCATACTCTTTGATTACTTTTTCCGCATTCTCAAATAATTGAAATGCAGTTGAGGCGTCTTCTTGTTCAGTCATATAAAAGCGATTACATGCGATTTTAATTGTTGCTCGTACATTTGTTCAACAAAACTTTCGTCTCTCCTCGAATTGTCATCCTCAGCCATAAAGATATCTCGTCACCATATCTTCTCTATCAATAATTCTCGCAACTGATATTCATCTCATTCATATTTTACATTTATCTCGAATTTCATCATTGCCTTCATGTATGCATCAGTTCTTAGGTGAACGTTCACTCCTGAAGCTCAGTTCATTGCTATACTAATTATCAGTTGTCACTGATTCGTTAATAATTTCAGGTCGTGCTGGTAAACATGGTAAGGCGATTACGTTCCTGACTCCCGAAGATAAGGATGTGTTTTATGATCTGAAACAATGCCTTCTCGAAAGCCCGGTCTCTTCGTGTCCACCGGAATTGGCCAATCACCCAGAAGCCCAACAAAGACCGGGTGTTTTTGTGCCGAAGAAACGACAAGATGAAACGTTGTATCGTAATTAATATTCTCTATGTATTCACCATACAAATAATATCCACGCATCGCTGCATACCGCCGTTGAGCAGATATGATCTCACAAATGCGTTCGTCAATTCCGAGAGTCATTTCGTTCAGTACGCGTCGTATCCGTCGACGTTCCCAAATGTATTTCCCTACAACGATCGGTCGTCTCTCGTCTTCATTCTTCAAAAAGTTGAAGCATTCTATTTCATATCAATTAATGCCTCAGTCCATCCGTTCCTCACTATTCGTTTTTTTCTTTTGTCTGTGCATCGCAGAACATTCTAGTGAAAGTTTACTTCCAACCCTGGAAACTGAACAAACTTCTGAATTTAAAAGTCGATGTTTCAGTTAAAGAAAATGAAGCGTCTGAAATTGAGGGAACCAATTTCATTGAATTGATCACCATGACGAAATGACTGAAAAATCAAAGATCCGTCCTAAGTTCAGTTAAGTTGTCGATCCTAAATCAATATATATTTCTAAATGGACAAACTGAAGCCACTGCTAGCATTAATTTATACCAATTGCTCTCGATATTTGGATACACAAGTTGTTGTTTTTTTATGAGAGAGAGATAGAAACAGATTGAAGGAAATTAACGATCTTGCTGATAGGGCATCAAAGTGGGGTGGATTTGAATGTAAGGCAATTGATCAGCGAAAGAATTGAATAACGAATTGATTGATGTTTATCACCGAAAGTTAGTGTTTCAGATCGTTCATAGATTAGTGTGGTTGTTGTTCATTTAATGAGTTTCAAATCAATCACCCGTCGAAACATCGCGTTCGGTCGCGTTTATTATAACATGAAATCAGCCAGTAGCAATAGCACATCTAAAATCACATTGCATTGATACGTACCAACCACTTCGACACTTTTTATCGATTAATTCAACTGTTTACAATGAGCTTATTACTCGATTGCTCGTTGAAACACTTTCAAGTGTTCCGATCGCAATTTAGTCGTATGAAAATAATCAAGTTATTCGAATCGACTTTCAGCATTCAATCAGTGTTACACATATAATTCTGTTTATTTTCCTTAATGATCACGCACTGGATATTTCTTCATAATTTCATTTGAATGCATCCATTCTTTCCTACTGACATCATAAAATGCAGTGTTATAAGCTTATGTTGAAGTTTTTTTTGCTACCTTCATTCTATCCTCTATGCATTATTTCTGTTTGCATTTTTTATCTGAATATGCTGGAGTCATTGGCAGAATCGAGCTGAATATCTGTCTCGTGTTCTAGGTGGTCATTGCAGTGAAATTTTTTTCCGTTCATTCTCTTAATGAATTCCAGAGTGTCTAGCTGGCAATTTTTAATGCGAACATATTAATGAAGTGAGCACAAAAGGTTTCAAATTTTCACACAATGCGTGTTGTTTATTGGAAAATGGAATTGCTACGGCGACAGTTTTCACACAGATCATATCATACACTTCATTTAGTTGTGTGTGAAATCATTTCCAGCAATTCATCGTTATTTTCAGTCTCTATCCAATTTACCGTGCTTATCTGTTGTTTTCTTTTTCAGATATATGTGTTTTGAGATATGCAGTTATGTTTGATGTGTGATTTATTCACTGGAAATGAGTTCCTTATTTGTTTTCATTATTGTTTTCTGTTTTTCAATCATATTTATTGACCAACTGTAACATTATTTTTTTTCTCGTGGTACTGATTGAGTGTTTAAGCGTGATTCGTTGTCCAATCATTCATGTCGCCTTATTTTTCGAGATTTTTGAAAATGCTAGATTGAAATTCAAGCATGTGAAGGGGGTTGGCATCTTCATGTTTTTGATGTTCTGCGAACGAAGACGTGATGCTCACTGAAAAGTATGTAATCGATCATGCAATCTTATGTATTGTTACTTGTTTGTTTCATTTTTTGTTTTTAATTTGTTTCGTTGAATTTGTTTTGAGTGTTTTTTCATTGTTATGAAAAACAAAGAAATGCTTGTTGAATGTTATAAGAATGTGTGTTTCTGTGAAGCTCTTCCCGAATGCGTTTTTTGAAAGCGCAGTGCGTTCACGTGATTCAACGCACTTTTCTATCAGATGTTCGTTTGCAAACGACGACAAATATGTATGAAATTTATTCTTTTATTCATTCAATTCACATCTCTCAACAAATTGGATCTCACGAATTCTTTATTCTCTCTTTCAAGAAAAAATCGTTTCCCAATATTCCCCAGGTTAGTTAGTTTGTCTCTGCTATTTCATTTCATTTCGTTTTTATTCGCGTACCACCACCTTTCATTATTAACTGATTGTTCGTATCGATCGCTTTATCATTCTGTGAGTAACAAACGATCAGTTTTTTGACGTGCTCGATATGAGCATTGACGGTTTCCATTTTACTTTCAGATTATTCGTTAATCTTTCTCTCTTCACTGACCGAGCTAGGATCGAAATCTTCAATTTTCTTTTCACTGCACATAGCATGATTACTTTTCCGTATTACGTTTGAAAGCTCCTGGATAGAGCTTCAAAATATGGAATTGGTTATATTGCCAAAGTTAGGTTAAGTTTTTGGATTGGTTTATTCAAGAGGAATAAGCTAGCAATTGTTATTGACAAATTTTGATATGCATTTGGCGAATGATTGCTTTGTGGAGTGTTTAGAATGGATTGAACTGAAGAGTGTTGTTTCAGTGTGTGATTGTCGACTGGCTAGCAGCCAGTTCAGTTCAGATTATCTCTTCTCTCGTGAACGCTACTTACGGTCTTTATTCGCTCTAGTTGATTGTCGTTAATCACTTATGGTAATGATGGTGGGGCGCCGTTCGGTTTATTAATCCATTGTAATATTTGCTGTTGTTCATTGATTCTGACAGAGGTAGCATTTTTGTGATGCATATGATTCAGTTAGTATTATATGATTGGCTATGAGTTAATCACTACTGCGAAAGAATTCATCAGTTAGTTGCAGTTTAATCAGTGCTATGCTAATGACTCTGAGTTGGGAGAAGGTAATAACCGGTTCAGTCAAGATTACATCCCTTTTGAATACGTTACACTTTTCTGGACGTTTACACGCTATTCAAAGTGGTATTTACTTATCCAACTCGTGTGGGAAATATTGTTACAACGTAGAAATTTTCACAGATATCCACAGGATTACCGGATGTTGCGTTGCCGCGAAAAGATTCAATTACTTAATGCCGATCGTGCATTTGACAGTCGCAAAGAGCTGAATTCTGGTTCCGAGAATTTCAAATTGAAGTCATTAAGGGTTTGTGAATAGTAGTAGTGGTCACTGATGAATTCCGAGAGTTTCAGTCATTGTGGAAATTCGAAAATTACCTCCATCGGATTTCTACAGAAAAGTTTGACGCCAAGTTTCGGAATCTTTGAAGTTAATTCAATCGGATTTCTAAAGGATCATATTTACATGTAATAGTGTACTAATAGTATTAGTCTTGTAATAATAGTCACCTACCGGAATTTTTTCCGGTTTCATCGGTCGATTTTCGGTTTTTACGATTTTTTTGTTATCGGGCATTCGTTGAAATTCGTAATTGCAAAGGTTATTCCCATCAGATTCTGATCGAACCAATTTTTGGTTCATTTACCATTATCCATTTCACAATTGATGTCTGACAGCAGGTTTCCTCACTATCGTAATAAACAATGTAATGAATTTGATGTGAGGATATGGTTTGCATAGACTGGTGCAGGCAGCTAACGTCCATGAGCATCAGTCGATATACGTCCAATTGCTTATCAGTTTTGATTATCGTTGTACGTGTTATGGCTGTGTTACAAACATCGTTGGAAGTTTTCAAAATTAAGTTTGCATTGAATTTAAGATTTCAAATAGAATCTGAATGTGCGCTTTGCACTGAAAGTTAATGGGTGACGACGATTGGCCGTCGCAACGTTTCCGGGACCACGTCATTAATCGGTTGGAACCTGAGTTGGCCCGGAATCGACAGAATGCTCCGAATTTACCAGTACCCGGTGATGCTCGTCAGGTTGTTTATTCTTTCGTTGTACTTTTTTTCTATTTCCGTTCAATTCATGTGCGTAACGTATCGAACAGATGGCGTCATTTTTATTACACTGACATCTTTAGAGGCATGTTTTATGCATTTCTCAATAAATCAGTTTCACCACATTTACAATAGGTGTTTTCATTGCGTATTTTGAGTAAAAATGTGCGCTTTTTGCGATCGATGTTATTGTTGTTATGAGTTTGTGTGTGTGTCGTTCTGATTGTAGTTGCGAGTCACGATTTCGTTGAGATTGTCCTTTCGTGCATAAAACATGTATCTAAATGTTCTTTTTATTCGCAGTGGTGAATGCATATTTTGTTGCGAATCACAGTTTGAGACTACATGTAAGCCCTGTATATGTTACCATTTATATGCAAACTTTCTGATCCTTTTAAAAGTGTAATGAAAGAAACTAAAAGCTTTTCAGGTTGAAGAATATGTGTTTCATAAATGTAATAGCAAGGATGAATACATGCGGACGATTGCAAAAGTTATAAATGCGATCAACTGTAACTGTTAGTTATATGAGTTTTTTTTTCTGTCATAAATTTCCATTTATTCGCACTATCAAATATATTGCAGTCTTCGCACTTTTTTTTTCTGTCAGTATCTATCAAATATCTGATTGCAGTCTTTTTCATCAAATTTCGAAAACTTGCAGCTAAATCGACGGCTGTCCCTTCGGTGTTGCAGTCGTCACAGTATCAATCGAATCAATCTGCCCAACATAGTTATCGAGCACCTGGTGTGCCACCCGATCCTCAACCCACCCACCAGCAACATCAACAGAACATCATGGTTAATTTTTGTGAACAGATATTTATTCCTATTCTGTTGTGATCGATGCAATCTGTTGATTTCGAATTTGAATTTTTCTGAAAGGTGTTTGACTTCTATGCTATGCATCTTAGCTAATATATAGTTATGAATAAGGTTTGCATCAAGTAAAAAAACTGACGGTTTGAAATGTTTCATTCGATTCTCAATGATCAGTTTTCAACTGAAAAGTGGTGAGTATTTTTGAAATTAATAATCGAAAAATTAATATTGGTATATGGCTGGAACATTTCCCACTGCATTAATTCACATGAAAGTTTGTTTCAAAACTACTTACTGTTCGTTTGTTCCTCATAGTTTTATTCTTTTATCCACCACAAATCGTCAGTGTTCCTCATTTTCCTCGAAAGTATTTATCGTCAGCAGAATGCTCTTTGTTGCGAATGCGATACTTGTAAATTTAGGATGGGAGTTTTATAATGTATGCCGTATTTCGTGATTCGATATGTACATATACAGAGCCATACCCTCTCATCCATAATCTTTTGACAGTGTCACGTATTTGCGTATCATTCATTCAGCGCGGAATGCGTGGCAATATTGCTGAATCTGATACCCATAATAATGATTATATCAATGGTGATAGCAGTGGCTTCATTAACGATAGTAATAATAACAATAATGTGATAGTAATATTGATGATTGCAGCAAGATCGCTATCAAGCACCACCGTTAGGCCAACCTCCTCCGATGATGCAGCCTCAACAAAACTCGTCATCTGCAGTCTCATCGGGTGGAATAAATGCGTCCGGAATATCCGTCTCGCCGCAACAACAAGCCCAACAACAGGCCATACAAGCATCACCTCTAGGCGCACATCATCCATCAGTGCCACATCAAACGAATACACCCCCCTACAGCATGATGCCATCGCCTGCACCTCCTGCCCAGCCGTCACCCACCCATCAACTATATGGTCAGCGAATGACGATCAATAAATCTGATCAACAGAAAATGATGATGAGTAATGCGGGTAATGCAGCTAACACTAACGGTACCAATGAATTAACTCAACGTGAAGCAATGATGCATCGAATGTGGAAGCAGCAACAACACCAAGACATTCCTTACGCACCTCCTTCCAGCATGTATTCTTTTCTTTTTTTTNTTTTTTTTCATGTTGCTTTATCTAGGTGAGATTCGACAGCCAGAATTTGTTTGGTACTCTAAAGGTTCCAAGTAGGACAAATTTTCATTCTGATAAAGATTCTCTGCCACGGGCGAAACACTTCACATTTGAAAAAATCATTTTCCAAATAACTTTCCATGGTTCATTCATTGTGTTGCGAGTTTCTAATATAGAGGAAGATGAATTTTAAAGAGAGAAGTTGCAAAACATGAAATGAGTATTTCGTTATGTAATTGTCATAAAAATATCAGAAAATATTTCCTAATGTAAAATCAATGTTTATCAATTTGGTGAATAAAATATAAATTCCAGGGGTCCGAATACGTACATGGATCCGATGCATGCATCCACGTCGTATCTCTCTTCCGGAATACCCTGCTCTCAAGTACAACAATCCCCTAATCAACCTCCACCACCTCATTTATCTTCACAACCCCAACCCCAGCAACAGCCATCCCTTCTTGAAAACCTCATTAATTCACCTCAGTTCGGCTCGCAGCCAAACCAGCCGCCCTCGTCGAGTCGACCGTTAAATATGGCTAGTCAAACCGTTGTCGATATGCCTCGACCAAATTCCAACCTTACAACTGCACAACAAAGCGAACAGGTTCATTACTTTTCATTCTTTTATTATGAATTCGAATGTATTTTCACCAAAATGCGTTATGTGTTTCATCGATTTCGACAAATCACTCCACTTCATTTCCCTACACCCTTGCAACGCATCCTCAAATAAGTACTTCTGTTCGTCTACAGATAATTCCTTTTCGAAAACTGCATGCATCCACAAAAAAANAAAAAAATTGTACAGGGCGTTTATTATGAGTGTTTCAGTGAAAAGAAGGGAATTCTGTCATGCATATTGATGCTAATGATAATGACGACGTTGTATATAAATAATTATTGCAGCGTTTATATATGGAAAAACTGCATGCATTAAAGCCATATTGCGAGCCACTGCGAGCACGAGCTCAGCAGTGTCGTATGGACGGTAACGAAAGTGCTGCACAAAAATTTGAGACGATGTGCAATGTTATCGAAGGAAGATCGTATGTGCTTAATTTTTATCCATTAATCTTCAGTCATGTTTGTGAGAAATTGGGACGCGGTTGCTATAGATTGCAGTGCTGAATTATTGAGTCTGTTCGAACATTTCTTACTGATTTTTGTCGACTTTTCCTTCATAATCAGAAATCAGTGAGTATGAACGTGGCGGTATCGGGATGTATATCCATGAATTCAAGTGATAATTTTAAAGCTTTCATCCCGAGACCTGTTGCATGAATTTAGCGCATAAGGAGTATAATATCACACAGCCGCCATCATGTAGGTGTTGATTTCGAGGAATCCTATCTTTCACTTCAACATGATTACTTGTCGCGTGATTGTATCATCCTGATCAATGTAAATGTGAATCTTTTCCAGGCGAGTATCTTTCGAATATTTGCAACAGGTGGAAACGTGGATCTATAAAAAACACGACTTTTTGGTGGGTTTTTATCTTAGTCGATTTTAATTTACCACTTTTACTCAATTATATAAGGAATCCCCCCTGTTTCCAGCTATTGAAGTCTTCTTGGGAAGTTTTCATCACTTTCACATTCACCGTTGAAGTATTGCGATTTTGTCACTAATTCATATATAAGTCTATTTTGGATTGCATTTAAAGAAAAGTATTGTTTGTTGAACGCCATTTCGATAGTCATCAATCATTTCGGGTGTAAATATGGAAATTTTTGATGCAGATGAAGAAAGACATTGAGAAACACTTGTAAAACAAAAGGGAGATGTTGCGTTCAAATAAAATATGAAATATTTCGATAGTTTTGATCGTTTTATTTGATGGATCGGTATGCATCAAATTGTTAAATTATTGCGTTTAATAAAAATTTCGGTTATGATGNTATCGTTTGTCATATCGATAGTAGTTGCATAACTATAATATTAATGATAGATGGCATGAATTTTTGTAAGTGAATTACTAAGGTTTATGTAAAAAGGTTCAGCATGCCGCAATGGTGCAGTCGCCGGTGGTGTCGGGAGCGTCAGTGCAGTCAGTGGTCGCAGCGCAACAGCAGCAAGCGATGCAACAGTCAGTGGCCCCATTGCAGCAGTCACAACCTCAGCCTTTAGTTGATGCCGTGAATGCGGTCCTTCTGAACGGTGACTCTCAAGGTGGCTGTTATTCTGATCGCATTCAGTCTCAACCACAAATCGGCACTTCCTCCTCGAATAGCAACTCAAATGGATTAGGTATAAATGCATCGAATTTAATCAGTGTGCAGGCAACTTCTGCTGTATCCTCATCAGTGTCATCCACGGTGACAGTATCCACCAATCAATGGCAGTCACACAACGGTACGAATGCTCTTTCAGCTAGCACTTTGGTACCGTCCTCAACCCAACAGCTACAGTTGTTATCACCGAGTATGAGTAATGTTGTCAACACGTCCAGTATGAACGCCGCAATATCGAACAATGCTCAATTGCCTCATTTAGCACACTTATCACATTTCAATCAATTGAACTCCACTATGCCTAATAGCCCATCCGCTCCGCCGTCGCATCATCCCATTGATCACACACCAACATCATCATATCAACGCCATTCACCTTATCCTCATCCACCCACCCCGATCAGATCACAGCAACAACTACAACATATTTCACCTCGAATGGCTTCTTCAAATTACGCTCCTTTCTCAAAACGTCGAAAACAACCGGTTAGTCATTTTTACTCGTTTGCATTCGTCTAGATTTTTGAAAAGTTTTTTCTGGCACTAAGCTTAGAAGTGATTTTTTGCTTATCAATTTTGACAGCGCCAAAGTCGTTCTTCTTTCACAAACCTTTTTTCATCTGTGTTCCTCATTCTCTGCCATTTCTGTATATCTTGAAATCCTTTCCATCCGATCATGTTTTCGCCCGGTCAAGTGGACGTGTTTTTCTCATTTTTCTATTCTCGTTTGAATTTTATTCGTAAACTTGTTCATTCAACTGCTAACAATATTTGGGTGATTTCGGTATTATTGCTGCTGAATTTCATTGCATTATCGCAATAAATTCTGTATACATTAAAAGTGTAATTACTCTTCCGAAGGTGTTGAATTCCACTTGTGTCCTTGAAGTTTGCAGTCTTCGTTGTTGATTAGGCATGGACGCTGTCTAATCATAACAATAAATTCTGATGATTTAGGTGCCTCCGACAGCAATCTCTCAGCCACCGCCTTCAGTGGTTGAACCAAGTCGGGGAAATGCTCTTCCACCGGTGGACAATGGCAGTGGAGTTGAGGATTTATATGTGATGGATGATTTCCTGCCCACTCCTCTGGAAGCAATGCCTAATAATGGTCTATCGCAAGTAAGGCAATCATTTGCATTCACTATTCGTAATTTATTGAAAGTTCAAAGAGTATCTGAGTATCCACCTATATCTGATAATCCGCATTTCAAACANACCATTTCGTAGATCCTTTTCTTCCCGTTTATAATAATGTTTATAATGTTTTTTGTAAGTATGGAAACTACGACATTGAATGGAAGTTTTTTCTATACCTTCATTTCTGCTTGATGAAACGCTTTGAAATTCCCAAGATCCGTTGTATCGTTCAAACTATGGAATAAACATATATTTGTCGTTTCCCATAAAGAGTTTTTCAGTTCGGCGCGCAATTACCTGAAGCAGCTAGACGTGAACTGTTGGCATTGAGCGAACGTTTCACAGTTGATCCCTCTATTGAACTAGCTCCTACCTCTACTGCTGTCATTGTGAAATGCAATCTGAGTTCGTTTTTGGCAACTTATTTATGGAACACTGATATTCATTCATTTTAATATATAGCCGGCATTAATAATATATTATTAGTCATTAGTGAAATTATTTTCACTAATATATAATATTAGTGAAATGCAATAATAATATATTATTAGTGTTACTCATTTAAGTATCACAGTCCAGTCAAACACGAGGATCACCTTTTTGTCTAGATTTCATCAATATCAGTTTATGATAAATTCGCAAGTAGTCTTTTTCTTTTAAGTTCATTTCCACTGAAATATCATCGATCATTTTTGAGCATAATAAATTGTTGGAAGATTTCAGTGTTGAATATAAAACAGAACACCGATTGATAAAATGAAAAAAGGAACTGCATTTTCAGATTCATACCCTGTCCCACCACTGCGACTGGTCATTCCAAGGACATATCCCAACGGACAGTTGTCTGTAGATCGTGCGGTACTCGACCTTGGTTTGTTTTATCTGTCTACACCACGATTGATTTTTTCGATACTAACTCATCCACCCTCCAAACAAAAATACCCTACCCTGTTTACGAAATGGTTCCAGGTGGTCGTTCTAGCTGGCTAATCTAAAGTATCCGCTCTGTGCGCTTCTGGTATAGCAGAAGTGCGGCGGTAAAACGTCCTGTATCCATCTCATTATGGACCACAATTTAACAATTTGGTGCGAAGATGAGAATTAATCAAGCTAGAATTGTTCGGTAGTTTTATCATGAAGACTCATGCAGTAAAACAACATCGGAATATTCCGTTTGCTCGTTTTTGCTGTTTAGTCGTCATTATGAATGCCTTTGTATTATCGTTGCATCTGTTCGGGACAAAACTATTTGTATTCATGTCGGTTTTGTTAGGAAGTGTTGCTTGTGTTATTTCAGATTCATTTTTCTTCGACGACCTACAAAATGTTATTCATGAGCGGCTTGCAAGGCCAGGACTTAGCACGATTAGCGATTATCTAGAAAATTGGGTTAGTTTCGTTGTTATCCGAATCTTATTCGTCTCATTCAGTTTTTTTCATTTTGATGCTCATGGACTGCAGTATACTCGTGAACTTGTGTTTCATAATCAGGAAATGTTTATTGTTGTTGATCGTTTGTGTGAGTTTATTGTGAAAAGGTGTATGTATGTGTGTGATTGAGGGAGTATAGCGAATAATTAATGGACATGGAATTGATTGTTGCATGCAATCAATTTTTTCGTTACATTCATCATTCCGGTTACAGGAATCAATTGTACGTAGTTATTATATGGGTCAACAGCAACAAACGTCAGTGCCAGCATCTTTCGACGATATATTCCAAACGACTAACTTTGACGACATTTTATCATAAGCCTATGATCAATTACTAATGTTATGATTGTTATGAAATTTTTATTGTTGGTTAAGGAAGAAGCACTTCGATGCCATCATAACTTTTATGTTTTGAAAAAAAAAAGAAATATATTTTACAATGTGGAGCCTGGTTTAGTTCAGAACAGTTTTGTTTGATATTGTTATTACTTTCGGTGTTATGTGAGTGGAGTATGGACTTAAGTTGCGTATTTGTTTGTTTGTTGTGTATTAATGGTCTTTTTTGTTGTCTCTTTATTTTACAGTTTAATGTGAGAATTTTATCGATTAGTTGTATAATGTTGAAGGTTCAGTTGTTGGCGACAGTGAGTGTCAGACAGAGAACTAGCACTTTAAATGCTTCTTGTTGTGAGAATCGAATTTTCATTAGATTGGTTAATTTTTAAGTTGCCATCATCATCATCATCATTGTTTCACGTTTTGTTCTTTTCTTTTTGACTTTGACTTGTGCTGATTGATGGACTCATTTGTATTTTCGCACTTTTTTTGTTTGTGTTTCTCAAATCGTCATACGTTCTTGTTTCATTGTGAATGAAAAGTGAGATAATAATAATAATATAAATTTGTTTATTTATAATTTCAATGATAGAAAAAGATTCAACGAGCCGATAATAATATTAATAGTAAGGAGAAATTGATTTTGTTGAATGTTTTCTTCGTATTCTTCTCATGGTCGCCATCAAAAACAACAACAAGTTTATCGTAACCTTTCAATTTGTATTGATGTGATAAGTTTAATATAAATTTGAACAACATAAAGCAATTGAATCGCATCCGTGCATCGTCTTTACTCTTGTTCACTTCTGCATCATCGACATTGAAAACACAACGCGAAAAATGCACCCAACGCAAATGCGCATGTTGCGATTGCACTTGGCCTTAAGAAGTGGAAGGATGAATGATGGAAATTGGATTTGGGATTAATTCAAGATTTGGGATTAAAATTGGATTAGTTCTGAGCGAATTAATTTAATCAACCCAATTCAGTCAGTGTCTAACTAAAAGCGTCGTTTTGATTTTTTGCTAATCTTGTTCGCTGTTCCATTAAATCATGGAGCAGTTGCTCGTTTGAATTACGAGTGCAAAGAAGTCAACGAATGTATTTAGCAGCGTGTTATCATGCGGAATTCGAATGATACTAGCGAACAGCCTATGATTTAGGTATATGAAGTTAGTGATGGCGAGTAGATTGTTTCAAATTTTGCGACATTATCTCAGTACTTTTGTCCATACACGGGGCACACTGAATTTGACTGATCAGCACATAAAATAATCAATATTCAGATGGTATTGTTTTCAGTCTATTGGTGCTCAGGGAAATATGTAAGCAAGACACGAAAAAATTTTCGAACAAGATTGAGAGAACGAAATGGCTTTAGTTGAACTTTCGCGTTGGATCGGATGGATTTCATCGATTCAGCGAAACATTCCCAGCCACTAAAACAGCTCGCTTACTGGTGACTAGTCATAAAAAGATTATTGCAAGCAGATTTTAAACGCACCCAGCGTTAGTTTGAAGTAAAAATGATAGAGTGATGTTTGATTTGTTTTATGGCTGTGCAGTTTAAGGATTATTGAATGTACATCAATCGTGTAACTTACATGACCCAGAATCGTTGTTTACGGCAGCACTTATCATCTTCGCAGCATTCGAAGTATGCAAAAATCGTTTCAGATGGGCAACTGAAATCAGTCAGAATTGAAATTGTTTTGAACGAATGCGAGTGAAACACTCTTCATTGCATATCGCCGGGTATCAGTCATTATCACCGATCCGAAATGCATCGTTTCCGATTGATGATAATAAGTGTGCTAAAAGATGTTTCATTAAAGTGCCTAAGAATTCCAACTGGACTGATCATTTTGGTGTCTGATCGGAATACTGAGCGAAAATGGATGCAGTTTAAATGTCGTTCGCACCATACTAATTGATTCTTATCTGTCCACCAGTTCATAACAGCATTCATTACCAATTGAATGAAAGCGCTGCATGATGCACCATTATTGGCGGTTTTTAGTCAAACCGTGATTGAGTTTGTTTCATAACTATTATATGTTGACGATTGCTGCTTTGACGGTTACTTCGATACCTTCAGTTTGGAAACTGAATTCGAAAAGTTTACTTTGTTTTTGCGATTGTGTGCTTATTGCTTGCTTGGGAAATTAGAAACTGACTGTTGTATCCATGATTCGTGAGATTGTTTTTTCATAACGAAATTTTTTTTCAGTGAACATTCGCAACCCTTTTCATAGGCACTAATTTGATTCAAATCTTTCTAAAATTCAAAACGGAATTGATTCATCAGCATTCCACATGATAGAGTTTTTAATGGAATTGTTTATTTAGTTAAAAATTCTCATCTGCAATTCAAAGGAAGGAAAATTAAAGTAATCTCAACTGTTTCAAAATCTGTCGAAGCACTCACTCAGTAATGGATATAAGTGATTTTCTGAGAAGTGTCTATGAAATGCAAACGTCTCTCGTGTTTTTAAATCTACTATAATAACTTGAACAAATAGTAAATTTATGGCATTAAATCGGTAAAATTCAACTTTTACAGGGTTTTTTCTGCTTTTTTTGCAGTAACCTCAAATGCCTGTCGATAACATTTATTGAATCAGTCAATAGAGAAATCTCTCCTTAGCATTATTGCTAAATGTTTTGGAAAAGTCATAGTGAAAGAACGGGACCTTTAGGAATGAAATATTCATCAACAATGCTAAATTGTCATCACTGAACGAACAAATACCCACTTCTTTTGTTTTTATTCATCATTTTGCAACGCATAAATTATTCGTGGTATGTTTTGTTGATTTCAAACAATGATCTACACAGCTGTTTGGCTACTTATTAGCACACATAACACTTGTTGTTTAAAGCGATAACCTTCTCCGACATTTACCATCATGTGGGTTTATCTTGGTTATACTGAAATTGCATTTAAACTACTTTGTTTTCAGTATCAAAGGGATACTTAATATTGAAATAACTGAAACAGCGAAGTATGAATCATTGAACGGAAAAGTAACTAAGATCAATGAAATGGTTATATAATGAAGATGATTAATGTTTAAACTGTTGGATGGGTCGTTCTAGCGCCACATCTATACATCCCCTTAACAAGATAGCTATTTTTCAACGGGTTTTATGTACGATTCTATGTTCGAGTAATATTCTTTTTTTTGTGTTGTTCAAAACACTATATTGCTAGCAAGTAATAAAATTCAAGTAATAACAAATAATGAGTTTGCGAAGCAACATTGGTTTATGTTACAACATCTGCGGCACTTAATTTTTTTGAAAGCTTCCAGTTTATAGCTTTATTCGCAATCCCGTGCTTTGAGTCAATCTCTGTAGCGTTTTCGTCCCCCACTGGACCCCATGTAACTCATTGTTTTATGTACAACTTTAAGAAAAAAGAACGGTTGAATAAGGATAAATGAAATAATTTTACTGGGAGAAAAACATGTGTCCAAAGCGATCCAGATGATGTAGAGATATTATAAAATAATTTATATTTCGATTTTTTTGGCAATCTAATAAGAAGTTATTTTCATCGGATCAATATAATGTTCAGATGCATGCATAAGGCAAATGCTGGCTGTTCCATATGCAGTCGATGTTTAAGCTTTTTATTCGAATCGTTATCATTCTCTTGACACTCACAACAACTACGCTCACATCATTTCTCGTCATAGCGCACAAATTTATTCGATGATGCTATCGCTGATGAGTTTTTTTAATAAATAATACACAATTTACTTTGATTTTTTGCTTCACACTTTGTGTGTTCAGCCGTGACGGTTATTTTTGAATGACTTTGAAAACTTTTCAAATTCAAAATATTATGAAGGATTTTTGAACACGTAAAGTGAGAAATTGCATTATTTCAGATTTCACTAAAGCCAAGCGAATCGCCTGAATCATCTACGGGTCAGATTCCAACATGACAAATCAGTTTTATATTCTGATTGTAGCAAATCCTAACTGATTGCTTGTTGAGTTGTGTTCAAATACATATCAACTTATGCTCGAGACATTTTCATTAAATCAAACTTTTCGTGAATCACCTTCTCATTAAATTAGTTAAAAGATTCTTTAAATTCAACATTATACCTAAACAGCAATGATTCGAACTTCGGTAATGTAAAGTACATCTGATCACCTCGGGACGAAATCGTCGGTAAGAAATGAAAAATGAGATCGAAAACGTTCGTGATAAAGTCGGATTGATTTCAACAAGGAGCAACTGAAATTGATTGGTTTTGTGGCATAAGAACACATGCCAGAAATCATCGATTGGATCTGTCAAATCTCAGTCTCCGTAAATGGTATTGAAACTGTGATGTGAACAGAACATTTTCTATGAGGAACCACTTCCAGAAAACTTTGATTTTAGAACAACACAACAACTTATCACCTCTTTAACATTGCTGTGTTTCAGCATGAATTTTTTAAACTACACCCAAAAACCACAGCAGACGTCGAGCACATTTAATTCACCATCCTCAAGAGGCAATCAACTGAAATTCCAAATTTCTTTCAATGCAAAGATGCGTTAATCAAGAGCAAACGATCAACATCGTGCGGGAATATCAGTTCGAGCTGGCAAAAGTGCTCGCTAGTGGTTTCAAAGATGCAATCGCTATTCTCACCATTATTTGATTGCCTATCGCTTAGAATTTGGTTCTGCTGTTGATGATATTTATCTCCAGCAATTTGTCTTTTAGTTTCACGATTTTAATTTATTGCGAACGCTACCATTACGCTGAATCTTTGAGTCTTTTTCGTGTTACTGCTACTTTTTTGGGGATCTGATTATCATTGCTGCGAATGATATGAGTAAGATAGAATTTTTCACGGAGTTTAATTACATAAGAAGTGGACAGTAGGAAAAGTAAGAAAAGTTGACAGTTAACGAGAGGTGGCCGTTCAAAAATCATTTCGGTATCAATTTCACCAAGAAAAAGCGGAAATGA